AGGCAAGGTTTAGAATCGCAAATCAATCCGTTGTTTTGGCTCAGGAGGCGATAAGAATCGTAATCGTGTGGTTGGTATGTTCCTCTGCTAGGTACGGAGATGTTACAAATGAAATGTATTGTGGCTCGACCTTGTTTTCTTTTTTTACAATTTAAATAGAGGCAGTTTAATTTGGATTTGAGAATGACAATGGTCTAAAAGGATAGCTATTGTGGAAAGGTAATTGCCACTAGCAAGATATTGAAAGAACAGTTACTTAAATATCAGATCAAGGAGGAAAAAGTTCATAATTTTGCATTTGCATTTATATAAGACAGCCTCAAATTTAATCTACGATGATGCATGGATACATTTAATGAATTTTGGTTCATTTACTTTAAAAAAAGCAATCTAAACACCTTATCGCGGTCATCTGTAATCAGGCCTTTGGGTTTTTGTCAGTTTACAACATAACGGTTTATTATTTCATTATATTGATACAATTTTGAAAATCACAGTTACGTTGTAAGAAAAATATGAATTTTTTAAGTAGACTTATAAAGTTTTTTCTAAATTTTTGCTTCTCTTTAAAAAGAGAGAGATAGACTTTTTTGAAATTTCACCGTAAAGCTCTTTTAGATAATTTAATTCCCTTCAATTTGAGCGGTTCCGGAGCTCTGTACGATGATTTGTCGCTTATTGTAGATCAAAGCAAAAAAGTCATGTTTGACTTTGGCAATCAATTACTCGGGAAAATTTTGGTTGGGAAAAGGTAAAAAATTGCATAATTAGGGATCTTTGATTAAGTTGGCATAACTTTGCAAATAGTGGATACACTAAAGATATTGACTGTAACTTTTCTACCTCAAAGTGTCCTAAAGAAACCCTGATAGTTTCAAAGTGCTGTGATTTTTTAAAACTTGTCGTTTTTGCTGAAAATGTAGCGAGTAATTTTTCACTTTTTATTATTTTTTTTGAGTTGAAAATGGCTTTTTAGCAGTAATCCATGTTTGCTTTATCAAAAAACATTAAAATATCCCTTAATTTTTTACCTACTGTAGATCTCATTTCTAAGGGTCAATTTTATAATGTAATTCAAAGTAAACTTATTGTAATATCGACACTAAATTCACTAATTTTTTTAATAGTGACATGGTGATATTCCTTTCCACATAATATTGTTATGTCATCAAACTTTTAACTTGTTGTTAGTTTTAGTAAACGCACGTAGAAAGCTTTGAGTTCCAGTGCATTAACAAACGTTTTTATCGACAATTTTAAGAACGACAGATTTATTTTTCACTTTTAACAAATTGACGGTTATAACAGATCGAGTCTGAACATTTTTCTGCATTCGAGGCGCTTGTATTTGATGTCATCTATTTTGTTGCACAGAAAAATCCCAAATTTTATGTAGAATAAGAATCCGAGTTTGCCTATTCTAAAGATCCATTGCTAAATTCAAGGGAACAACAAACATACAGAAAGGACGAAAAATTTTTCGACATATTTTTCCCTGTAACAATGAAAGTAAGCCTTAAAAAACAAAAAGTTATTCTTTATTATCTGTTTATTTGACTATTTTCTATAAAGTTACAACTGCAAAAAAAAATTGTTAAAAAATTCAAATGTTCTTATTCGCATTTGTTGTAACTTTATAGAAATTGGTCAAATAAATAAAAAATAAAGAATGCCTCTTTTGATTTAGGGCTTACTTTCAATTAATTCAAAATATGTCGAAAAACGGGTAATTTTTCGTTCTTTTTATTGTTCCCCTGAATTTAGGAATGGTTTATTGGAATAGGCAAATTGGGATTCTTATTCTACATAATATTTGGGATTTTTCTGTACAACAACCTACTTTTACTGCTCTATCGCCTGGACTATAACTGATCTAGAGAAAAGAAAGAAAAAAATTGGCTTCCAAGGAAAACTTTCTTACCCCAAAGAAAACTTAAACTGAATTTCTGGGTAGATACATTACTATGAAATTTAATCTGCACTTGCTACTTATATTCTACCACAAATCTGCTAGAAACGTTCTGCGAACACATTTTCCGATACCTAAGAAAACTTAAGGTGAAAAATTTCAGCAGTACTCTGAATTTCGACCAGGCATCACGTGTGTATTTATTCTTAACGATTATTTTCCCTTCTACGTACGGTATACCATAAATCATATTTGTCCGAACTCAATTACATATCGCTTTCACGATTCCAAATCGATAAGCGCCCTCAGGCTCTGTTATGTTGTAGAACCTTCTGAATCAGCAGAGGAATGTAAATAGTTCCTGACCCCGTACAATAATTTTTGCCATTAAACATAAAAAATATGAATCAAACATGAATGAACCGGCCCACGTGTTTCCTTATAAGAAAAATTGTCGTTCCTAGAAATTCGTGAGTAAACCGATATTTACCTGCTTCGCGACGCTGACTCACCTGCTTTCTCAATTAATAACCAACTAGATTGGTCAAGGTCATTGTTACTATGCTTGCTCAATAACCAGAAAATGCAAATAATGCCATACATCTTATTCGAAGTGGTTTTCTGCTTAGGTGTATGCTAATTTTTAAAATATAGCGGAAGCGGCGTTGAGATTTATTTGAACAAAATTACTAATGGATGAATCAGAAAGCGTTGATAGTTTTTACGCCTTGACAAAATATGCGGTGCAAATTAATGTTCGACACGTCGTGCAAATTACCAACTGTAATAAATGAGTTTTGTGAATGATTCCTAAAGAAATAAGAGATTAAAGTGAAAATGTCATTCTGTTCAGTGGAATTCAACTGAGACTGTCATGTTTATAATTTGAGGATATTTGTTGCAAAATCGCCAATTTCAATAGCAACCTTGAGCTCATTAGCACATTTCAGAAATATCAAATGACACACTTAGTCAACTTTCGGTGTAAAATTCATATCTGTAAAGGTAATGGTCATTTAAATTAAAATATTTCGTTCAGGAATTAGTTCCAGCACTACTAGCTTTTCGGCTTTTTCTAGGTCTTTCTCGTCTATGCATCTCATGGTTGGAAATCATTTTGTTTCTATTCTTACTCAATGTGCGGTTTTTTTAAACAAAACCAGACGTATTACTAGACATTGACTGATGAAATTAAGGAAAAACAATACTTTTGTGAATAATCGTGGTCGTTTCAATAATAAACTTATCGAACAGTTTGATATATTGTCATTATCTCTGCAAGTGTGTTCCACAAAATACTAGACATTGAAGCGTGGCGAAATCAACAATTTTGATGTATTAAACCAGAACTCCTGTATGACGAACAAACATAGTAGTAAAAAATTAGCAGAAGCGTAACCAATTTTTCATTTTCCTAAAATAGACGTAAAGTGCATTATTGGTTCTTGGAACTTCCAATGGTCAATAAATGAATTGACAAAATTGACACAGAGTTGCATCTGAACTTAGTATTTCGTTTTTTTTCCAACCTTAGGAACTAAATTTGGTGCAGAAAATCATAAAAATATTTATTATTTCCTGCTTGATACACTCTTGTATTATTGCCAATCTTGTCCTCATTTTCAGTGATTTCCCACACATCCTTTGACTAACATATTGGTCTGCTTCATTCTCTTCGTACTTGCTCTCCTTCTGTGACTTAATACGTAGCTTATTTATTTAAAGGTAGTTTCTTATCTGGCCCATTAACTTCGATTGCTTTATCATATTTTTCGTTCCGCTGGCATTGGTTCTAGCTTCTACTTTTTCGGGGCTATGTTTTCAGCATTGCCAATGTGGCATCATTCCATATTTACATAATCCTTATTGCAAAAAAGCAATTAAACAAAAGTAATTTAAAGTCGAATGCTCGTTAATGATCAATTTTTTTGCCAGAGATCATTGACTTTCGTTGATGCATCAATCAGTAATTAAATTCGTTTTTGTCACTCGAAAGTGGCAGTAAAAAGAACAAAGTTCAGAATTCGTAACACCATGTCAGATTAGCGAGTGAATCTTACGATTTTGAGATATTTTCATGCATTTTTTTCCCACCCGTGACAAATGGGTGGCAAGACTCTTTGATCATAACATTTTTTCAGGTTTCTAATTTCATAGACGAACCGACAAACACTGCCTAATTAATTTTCTCTTTAATCAGATTTATTAGAAACTGCGTGAAGTTAAACAAGAATTTCCAAATTAGACCATATTTCACTAGATGGTATGGAAAAAAGTAATTAGAACGTTGGTTAACTTTTATTGTACCACGGTATACTGTGGATATGTTTACAAAATTGCGTATTGAAGAAAACACATAAAATTATGTACCAAAATGTCTGTTTACACAAACGTATTATTTGCTCCAGTGTAATCTAATATTAGACAATAGTTAGGTATACATATGAGTTATCTGCGAGCTTATTTATTTATCTACTAAATATTTAACCAAAGGCATGGACTGATTTAATATTTGCCTACAAATAAAGCTTTTTAATTGATTCACGAAAGTGTGCACAGTTTTCTTCTGACAAAACAAGTAAGTGTCGCATTGATTATGTCTATATGGTAAATTTATATCAATTTCTGGCTGCACGCGACACTTTTTCCATTATAATGTCACGGTTACAGTTAAATAAACGTCGACACTTCCTGATGGGAAAAAAATATTCAAATTGAATCATTTTCTTTTAGAAAGTTCAATGATACACCTAAGCCGCAAAATTAAGGCGAATTCTTGAATATTACTAGAATGTAAACATTGCATTTCTTATTAAGAGTGACGTAACTTGATTTGCAACACTCAAAGACTGTTCTGATACTTAAAACAGTGAGAAATATTGTAATAATAATCAGACGGCATTACAGAAGGAGACCGGAGCATTTGGACCAAAACCACATCTCATTAATTTTTTTTTTATTTTTTGCCAACCGAGAATTAATTGGCGTAAATTACACAAATGTAATCGATTGCTCATTGCTCCACATTATTGCCAGTTTTTCTTGGAGTAGCTGCACAATATTTAGGAATTAAGGAATTTCTTTGTTGCAGATATATTTATCTCAGTATGGCTACATATCAGCTTCCAGAGGGAATTCTAGTCAACTTTTAGATGAAAGGAGCTACAAGAAGGCGATAGAAGACTTCCAGTCCTTTGCTGGAATAGACGTTACAGGTAAATGCGCTATTTTAGTTACATGATTTATTTTATTTATGTTAAGGCTGACTTTTTGGTAAGTAACACAATGATAGAACAAGTAGTTCTAGAGCAACTGTGATTTTTCGCATTGAAAGATCATGGAGAACATGTAAACATCAGATAATGTACCTTTCTTGTTTTGTCCAGCAAAGTAAAGATACTCAAGAATTGCGACTAATGCATGTGTTAATAGTTTTTTAAAAGCATTCTGGGGGGTGTGATTATATTTAAATTTATATAAATGGTACAATGAAGAGATATTGTTTCTAACTTCTCAGATTTTCTAAAATGCTGGACGAAATATTAGATAATAACAATTTAGTAATAGTCAGATTTGTTTCTACCATCGATGAAATAATAATAGTCAACGTTATAACATGCCTTTAATTGCATATGTGCAAAATCCAGGTATTAATTAATTCCTTTTTTCAAGGATGAAAAGCAAGTAGGTCGTGAGTATGTAATTTTTTATATATACTTATGAGAAATAATTCTGTGATAATTACGATGATATTTTGCTTATTGTACATTCATATAACCAGTTAATAAATCAATGATTTCACGCAAATGATTGTATCATTGTATAGACAAAGCTTGTACAGAAAATCGAAATACAAGTAACTATTTACAATAATTTTGCGATATTGTTACAGGTTAAGGTTGTTTGCCACCAGCATATGCGTTTGTTTCGACATCTTATAATTTTTCACCTATTTATTAAATTCAATATGGGTGTTTAAAGGACTGTCTGTTATAAATAGTTGGCTAGATAATTTTTATAGTACTGCTGGTGTCGAAATTAGAGATCTTCGTGTATCTGGTGTAACTATAAGCTTAAATTTGCCACAAATTAACAACTTAATTTTTTTAATTTTAAGATAATAGGAGAAAGCTATACATATAATTTGTGTTTGAATTTATCAAATGAAACAAAGAATTTGTTTACCTTACCACTGTTATTTTAGGCACATTTGATAAGAAAGATAAATAGGTGCTAAAATAATTCCCTCTGATGATATCATCGCATTTTTACTTTGAAAACATTTTTTTGTTGCATGAGTGATAATAATTTAGATTATTAAATTACTTAAATCTTTATAATATAAATTTTTATAAATGTTCTAGTTAAACAAAGGAAAACGTTACTAGAAACTAAATTACAGCTACCTACATTTATTATCACAATCTAGTAGGCAATGGGACCAGATTATTCATAATAATTTATGAAGGACACTAGTAGACTAGTTGTAGAGGCAATCCTATGATTGCCAAATGTAATGTAACGAACATAGTAACTATTTAAGCAACAATTAAAAGATTCAATGAAATTCAAGTAAAGAAAGGTTTACGTCTACTTCATCCTTATTGAAATAATACGTTTAACCCTTCATTAAATAATTAATAATAAGGTTATCAAGGTTATTCATTATAATAATGAATATCGGAAGTAGATGAATTGTCACATATAATAATAGACAAATATAAATCACCCTCTTGACAGGTTATTTTACGAAAAATAAACAGCTAATGAACTGAAATGTAACAACAATAGTTTGATCAAAGTGATACCCGAAAATTACTTTGTGAGATTTAGGACTTTCAGAACCCTTGACTTTATTTTCGTTTTGTATTATAAATGGAGAAAATGGAAAAATTATGGCAGTAATTAATCAGACATGTCATACATGACGCACGAGAAAATGTAAGAGAGTAGAAATATGTTTATTAACTACTTCATAAGATATTGGTGTTATTATTTTCAAAGATAAAATAGTCTATAAAATCTATTTTATTATGTAGACGACAATTTAAAAGAGTTTTTCTAAATGCAAGAGTCAGTTTTCCCATACAGTTTTTATATCAAGTTTTTTTCTATTTTTTTCTATTCCAGTCTGATACATGTGCTTTTCTTTTTTCAGGGCAACTAGATCCGGTTACATTAGAGACCATGACTTTACCAAGATGTGGAGTAAAAGATAAAGTTGGAACAGGAGACAACAGAGCCAAAAGATACGCTTTACAAGGTAAATAATGTGGTTAATAATTAGTAATCAACTAAAGCGAACTAATTACTAATTAGCAATTAGGCGATAATTACCTAGTGACATGACGAATGTATTAACAACATTCATGTGTTGTTTCATAGGTAGGTACAGCTATAGACAAAAAAAAAAAAAAACTAATAAATTCTGCCTTATAAAAGACCACAAGCAAATTAGGTCAGTATTTTTTTGTTTACAGCTGTATTTGTGTAAATGAAGGAATATTATGCAGCTCAAATCGTGGTGCAAAAAAAAACAGTGCTACGAAAATTTTTACAGCTATAAAAGCAAATATTTTTATCGGTTTTAGTGCTGTACAAACAACGAAAATTTCAATAATGTTTACGTATCAAATATTATAAATCTTTCGTTTATAATATATATAACAGCAGCAGTAATTAGTCGAGAAATAGTCCAATTTTATGTTAAAATTAAAAATCAACTAGTAATTTTCATTTTTCTTATATATAAAGAAATTAAAAGTCCATCTGTCTGTCTAGATATTTACTTGGCGAGATATTCTAATAAATCTTTATACTACACCATTATTTATTACTTGATCGCGGTTAAATGCAGCCATCTGTTTTATCGACATGAAGTATGTCTGTAATATATCCTCGACACTACAAAATAAACACACTGTCAGTCGTATTTATGCAAACCGTGTATATTCCGTGTTTATTACTGTACAGCCGTGCGTTATCCGTTTCCGCCCAAATATGCAATCAGATCTGATTGTGGTGTGACAGATAATAATTTCCTTACAATTCCATGAAACAAACACGAGCCGTGTTAGCGGTCATAGTTGACGAATCCGACACCAACAAATTAAATCGGGAAAATCGTGTTTTATTTGATATATCCTGCGCGCGCTCACGAAAAATCGAGAAAGATTGCTGAGCTCTGGTGTAGGTTTTAAATTATATCGAAACATTGACACAATATGTACTGTACTATGTGTAATTTTGTAAATCTCTGTACCTAAAGGTTAGGTGGTAGGAAATTTTTAGACGTATTTTGTGAATAGCGGTACCATTGAATAAAATGAATAGTACAATAAGCCCTATTCCATGGACCATATCTCCTATGTGGACTGATTCACAAAACTTTTAATTAACATACAGTGCTGCAGATACAAATTTTAATAACTTTCCATCAATTATCAATTTGATTATATAAATAACCTGTTGTTAAAAAAAAATGGATGAACCGAATTTTTATAAATTTGTGATTTATACTCTTCCTTCCTAGATATTAGTCTTCCAATTTTTTTCTGGGTGACAAATATAACTAGACAAAATACTGTGTTGTAAATATATTAGTTACCGTTTAAATAGGGAGGTAGTACTCGATAATTTTATGGAAATGCGAAGCAAAGTTCAATTATAGAAATTTTATCAAATAATCATGGAAAAATACAACATTTCATTGCGTGAGGGAATAATAGTTCCCGTTTAATTTTTTAATTTAATTAATCGTAATATGTGTGCTTTTGTCTATAACTCATTTAATTTGTATTAATTTCTTAAAGTTAATGCAGAGCTATGACGTATTTTTTAAATTACATTCAACTAGAGAGTACCGAATCTCTAAAGTCTCTAATCTACAATACAAACACCCTACAGAGAGTTAGCGGTTAGATGTTATCATATTCGTCAAATTAATTTTGAATGGTAAGTAGGAGAAGGTGAATCAAACTTTTCTGTAACGGTGTTTCTCACTAACTTGATTTAAGAGAAATATGTTTTGTAGAAATTTGTTTAAACTGATTCAAAATTTCTTATCATATAATTTTTGTGTCGTTTTATTAACTTGACTTTGTACATAATGAAAGCATACATTAAAAACAAATTTATTTTTTTTGGCAACCATCCCAACACTGAAGTGAATTACTGGTTGCCAATCATTGCCGTTTTTTACCTTTAATAACTATTTTCATTGTTAAAGCTACTTAATCAGGTACCTACAATGTTCTGGATGACCGCAATTTTTAATAGGCATTCAGTTCCTGATTCTCTCTATAATTTTAATCATACTGACCCTGTACAAAAGGCTAACTATGAATCACAAGGCGTTTAGTCAACGCATCCTAAAAATAGCATGTGGTTCTTAAAGATTTAAACAAAATATAATAAACTAATTACATTATGTTTTATGAATCATAATAATAAATTATATGAAGTGAATCACTGCCAGTATCTCTTGGTCGAAGAACATTCAATTGTCATCTCGCTATTTACGCGTCGAAATTTTAACCAAGCGGAAGTTTGTATTTACATCTTTGAATACGATAAAGTACAAATTTTGTCTGCAAATAAAATAGTTCTTAGTTTCTTATGAATTAATTCAAATTGTAGGTAGCAGGTGGAAGGTGAAAGACCTCACCTACAAAATTTCCAAATATCCAGGCAAACTAAAGCGCGGGGACGTTGACAAGGAAATTCAGAGAGCCTTCAACGTGTGGAGCGGATACACCGATCTCACTTTCACCCCAAAAAGCGGCCAAGTCCACATAGAAATTAGATTTGAAACGGGCGAACACGGTGACGGCGATCCGTTCGATGGACCAGGTGGTACCTTGGCTCATGCCTACTTCCCAGTGAGTATTTTTCATCATGTATATTAATTGTATCTTACCCCATCACTTTCTCAGGTCTTTGGAGGTGACGCCCATTTCGACGCTTCAGAGAGTTGGTCGATAAACAGCTACAGGGGCACCAACTTATTCCAAGTAGCAGCTCACGAGTTCGGACATTCCTTAGGATTGAGCCATTCCGATGTCAGACAAGCTCTGATGGCGCCTTTCTACCGAGGCTACGACCCCCTGTTTAGCTTGGACACGGATGACGTAGAGGGTATTCAAGCCTTGTATGGGAAGAAAACGAAAAAGGACACCCCTTCATTTGACGATGATAATGACGACCAAGATGGAGAATTCGACGAAAGCCCTAGCAATGAAAAGAAAACACCAGCACCACCATCAGTTGACCAAAGTCTGTGCGCCGATCCTAAATTTGACACCATATTCAATTCTGCGGAAGGGTACACCTATGTGTTCAAAGGGGACAAGTATTGGAGGTTGACAGAAGAAAGCATAGCTCCAGGTTATCCGAAGAAGATCTCAGAAACCTGGCCTGGACTCGAAGGTAACATCGATGCTGCCTTTACTTACAAGAACGGGAAGACTTACTTCTTCAAGGGATCTAAATACTGGAGGTAAGAGTTTTTTTTAGAGAAGTCCTACTTCAAACGCGTTACATTCGAATTGTGATTTTGTAATAAACATTTTTACTTCAGGTACAAGGGTAGGAAGATGGACGGTGACTACCCCAAAGAAATTTCCGAAGGATTCACAGGTATTCCCGACAATTTGGACGCAGCTTTGGTATGGAGTGGCAACGGAAAGATTTACTTCTACAAGGGAAGCAAGTTCTGGAGGTTCGATCCATCTCAACGCCCTCCTGTCAAGAGCACATATCCCAAACCGATTTCTAACTGGGATGGAGTTCCAGACAATCTAAATGCCGCCTTCCAGTGGACCAACGGTTACACGTACTTCTACAAGGGCAATGCTTATTACAGGTACGTCTTGAGGAATATTTTAGACAAAATTAGGCTATCCGGAATTACCTAGAATGCTTTGTGACGCTGTGATTTTTGTTCAGGTTCAATGACAGGGCGTTCGCAGTGGATGTCACAAATCCACCTTTCCCCAGGTCGACCGCTTACTGGTGGTTCGGCTGCAAGAGTGCGCCCGCTGGAACCATCGGAACTAGTGAGTCTAGAGGGTGGTTAGTTGGTGAAGAGAGCTCTAGTCGATCTCCTTGGGATGATATGGTTAATGATATGGATACAGGTAGGACCAGTGCTAACCAAAGCTGTGAAAGCGTTTAAGTCGCGTGTATATTGCAGATGATGTTTAGACGTTTAATTGTGTTATAATTTGAGAGTTTTCGGATTTAAGATTATTATCGTTTGCAGGTAGAATGTTTCCTCATTTCAAATTCAGGATGTATTTCTAGGTAATTATATCGTAGATGTTGCCGCATTTCTATTTAGCTGCTAGCATGACGTTTTGATTTTAATAATATGTGTGATCAAACTTTTACCGAATACATACATATATATGCCGTATCTAAGATAATGTACTTGTTTTGTTTTTGATTTTTTTAACTGCATGCCGAACAGTGAAACTTTACCACATGCCATTGAAGTGCCGCAAATAACCTTTATTTAACAATAATTTACGAGAAAAAATACTTTATTTGTATTGTCGGACATGTAGATAAACCTAGAAGTTTCGAAAATCACGTAGATGTATTTTAATGGTATGAGTAGTGAAACTAACACAATTAAACTCCGCGAGGCCTTCGCCGGTCAATTGACCGAGACCGATCGTTGTGAAATGATAAAACGAATTCTGCAATGTATAACCGCTATCATAATTAACAATTTTTTTACTAAATTTACTAAAGACATTCCTGACAACAAATTAAAAAATACATAAACGCTCTCTTCATCAAGTATGTATACCATTACCTTCTAAGTTACTAAGCTTGTTGATGCATGTTTATCACACGTAGGCTGCTTACTAATCTCACATGTAGTCATAGTTGTAACTAATTCTACGATTCATTGAAAATATTTTGTAAGATGTAGTTGGAAGTACTGTGTTGAGTCTTCTTCATCTTATGAGGTATTCTCGGATAACCAAACTTGTAAATATAGTATGTTTCGATTCACGTTAGACTTATATAACCCACTCTGTGTCTCACACCCTTAGAAGTACTGTTATTGTTACCTTTACGGTATATGGCACTTACAATGAATGGTTGCACGGCTAGTAGAATTGCCTGAGCACGGCATGTATCGTCTAGTAGAACAATTGTCGGATGACACCACTTGAACTGACAACAACGGAAAAAACAGAGAAAATAACTTTCATTTTGTTTTGATTTTAAGTATTTAAAAAACTGGACTCAGATCTGATCAACAAGTTAGTCATTCTATTGTCGTTTTCCAGAATGGCCAAGTCCAACACCAAATATATTTTGGGTTTTATATCTTTTAGTTCAAATAACATAATAACGTTATTGAAAGTTATTGGCCAAAGATTTTTCCTATTGACCCTCTGATAATTAAATTTCAGTGGAAGTGGTGTCATCTGAAGCAAATAAAATAAAGTACAGGATCTTATACACTTATTCTTTTATTTTGGAATAGTAGTTGATGTAGGTATTGTAGGTAGAGTATATTATTTCATATTACTTCATAATAATATCCCAAACTACAATGTGGATCAAAGTTTTCTTTAGTTAAGCTATTACTTCAAATAAATGGCTTATTACTTTTAGTTAAGAGTAACCAGTTTCGTATAGGGGATATTTTTACAAGAATTGTTGTGGTGTAGGGAATAGAAAGTGTAAAAATTTAACAATTTTCAGTTCGTAATCACTAGAAGCATTCTTGCACTTTCAATCTTAAATGACTGTAACTTTTAACTTCATCAGACAAAACTATTTGGAAAATGAATTTATGGATATACATTAATATTCTAAAACCTTTTGAATCTAAGTATCGTTACAATCGGCGAAAATTAAAGTTATTATATTTTGATAATGAAGCATGGGACCCTTATAGCTTTTTATGATATGGTCTGTAAGCCCACAGAGAAAACTCGTGGCAAAAAAATTTGGAATTAAATTTCTTAAATAAAATTAGATAAAGACGACCGATTCTGTGATCTCCAAAAGAGTTGCCCATACAGGGTGTAAGAAGCTTGACTGTCATTACTTCAGCATGAGATACAGTAATCATAAATGAACAAAAAAGTTGTATATTACAGGGACGTAAAATTAACAGTTTTCAAAATACAGCGAGTATTAATATTGGGGAGTTTCATCACAACGTGACAACAGCGCTTAATTTGCTGACGAACACCACGTGTGCACGCGGCACACTTGTCCTACGGAAGAAATGTAAACAACTATTATTCTGAAACATTTGATAAGTTTCAATACAATTTTTCCAGTTTTTAAATACATAAATAAAATAAAATGTATCGATTTTGTAGTACAAAGATGGCGTGCTTAAATTTAAACTAGAATTTTAGTAATTATGAATCTCTTAAAACAGGAACTTAACTTTTAATCAAATTACGTATTTGAAAATATATAATTACAGTACCCGAAGATTCACGTCATCCAAATAATCATACGTATTAAAAATAATTTAGGTACTTACCAAAAAGCAAAATTCAGTAATTTTTAAACGCATAAGTACAAAACAAACTACAACATTTGCTTAAAATGTCCATCACCATTTTCGATGCACGCACGACACCTTCGAATTCAATTTAAGTTTTTTCATCATGAAAGTCCTCTATGTAGGCTTGGCAATCATCCCTATAAAACGATATGGATCCTACGCTTCATTATCAAAATATGACCACTTTAGTTTTCGCAAGGCGTCACTGGTTAATATATCTCTACCTCTTCCCAATTTCAATAAATTTACACTTTGCTGAATTATAAGAAAGATACTGGATCAATTAATTCGTATTTCCGCTTTTTCGCTGTTATTTTTTCTTTTCATTCAACATACCTGTCTTCATATTATTGTTTTTAGGTACCTACTTATTATTTTTTATTTTTAAAATAAATTATTAAAATACTACAGTATTTCAATATTTTTTTAAACATTTGCTGACTGCAAAGGTATTTTTTTTGTTCATAGTAATAGTAATTAAAAAAATTTGTTAATAACGTTTGCTGCATAATATTTTAATAATTCTTGGAATCTTTCAACTTGTCTATTAAAAGATACATTGAATTTTCTGTTCTCAAAGTTCATATTAGTTTTTAAATTTATATTAAAAAGGGAATTGAAAATTCTATATTTTGTAATTAAATGAAACTACAGACAATAATATTTCAAGAAATACGAATGGTATCTTTCTCAAACTAAATATAGAACTATATTTAAGTAGTTCGAAAATTAATAATCCGAAGAGAAAGTTGAAATTGGGTAGGTTTAAAATCTAAGTATTGTATAAGATCCTGGAAATAATTGAAAAGACGTAGTATATTGTTTTTGAAAAGTTCAGATGATTACAGAATTTTTTTTGTGTTAATCCACACTGCTGTATATCTAGCCTAAACTAAAACTCAGTTACTAAAATATAACAAATAAATTATTGTTAAATTTTATTAAATTTGACCAGACAATTGCCGTTTTTTTCGTAAAAATCGCAGCTCATTAAAAAACAAAAGATTGCTGATAAACCGCTAATCGTTTGTTCTTTAAAATCGAACTAAAAATGGCTTACACCGTTTGTTACAAGACACACGTTACAATCATGTTTTAAAAATCTGCAAGACAGTGCTGCATGTGAAAGAAATAAAGAAAATTTTAAGAAAAAATGATTATTTTAATAGTTAGAAGACTTTGTGCATGCAGCACTGTCTATGAACGCCTGTAATCATCTGACGACTGTAAAAAGGCTTGTACCGGGGTCATCTAGGTAGCATATATTAATAGAGTACCGTCCTTATCGGTTTTTTATTTAATGGCAATGGCTACATTCCAGAACACTACCGGAAATCTCCCAGGCAGTGAGGCGCAGCCGCAAAACCATTTTTTTAAGTATGTGTCGTCCTTTGTTTTTCGTTCCGCATCACATAGTTTTAAGTTCTTACGAAAGACATCTAGTCATCGCAGCTTCATGCATGCCAGGTGGTTGAATACAATGGGATAATAATATAATTCATTTTACGAGACATTCATGACAAGGGAAAATTAGTGCCAACACATGAAAAATCTGGAAGGAGCCATATATTTTCTCTTACGCCCTAGGCATATTTAATGCTGGGGCCACACTTACGTTAGCGTGTAACGTCCATTATCGCGATGATTATTGCGTTTAAAATAATATCAAATCAAATCAAATCAAGTCATTTATTGGTGTCTATACATACATATATAAGAAGTGGATATTATTTGTGAAAGGGCGAAATGGGCGGTGACTATTAGACGCCTTCATTATAGCCATCTTTCTCTATCGCACGGATTTCTATGACTTTCTTTATCGTTCTCACGTAACGGCCGATGAACCATGGGGACTTTCCGACCCTGTATATCTAAAAACTGGTCAGCAAGGAACTCATCAAAATTGTAAAACGCTTTTCTCTTAAGATATTTTCTAATTCTGGCCTTAAAACGGTCTGAATTTAGTGATCGAATCTCAGATGGAAGTCTATTAAAGAATTTAATGCAAAAATAATTTGTGCCATCTCTGATTTCGTTAATCTATGAAATTTTGGCCTAATATTGTGTCACTCTCTTGTATGACGAAAATGAAAATTTTCTTGTCGAACAAACCTATTCTGATTATTTTTTATATAACTGAGACATTCAAATATGTAAACTGACGGCATTGCAAGAATATTTAGCAGTTTGAAGTGCTCCCGACAATCATCTCTGTATTTTATTCCAGCCATAATTCTAATACATTTACGTTGTAAACCAAAAATTTTATCACTGTGAGACGAATGGCCCCAGTTCAAAATTGCATAAGTCATGGTGACACGAAAAGTGCCATAATATGTAGATATGAGTACAGGCTTAGATACTACACGATCCAAATTATTAGATAAACGTGCGGATAAATCATTGACATGTTTTTCCCAACTCAATTTAGTGTCAAGGTGAACTCCAAGAAATTTAATGCTATTTGAGTTATCACAAGTATTGATATGGCGAAGTGTAAAAAGCAAAGATTGAGTTTTGTCGACATTTAAGTTCAATCTATTAGCAATAAATCAGTCCTTTATCAGCGGCAGCGTATCCACTGAATCCTCTGTGAGTTTAATTAAGTTATTATTTGACTTTAAAGCGGCAGTATCATCGGCAAATAAAATAAAATCAGTAGTTACTTATATCACAATTTGGGAAATCATTGATATAGATAAGTAATGACTAGAATGGAATAAATTATTGTTTTCAAAATACTCTGCAGTTTGCATTTTTAAGGCAGTTTCGAAAACCTTTGCCAGAACGGGAACAAGAGATATTGGTCGGTAGTTAGATACATCATCTTTCTCACCTTTCTTAAAAACAGGAATAACCTTGGATAACTGAAAGCTATAGGAAATACGTTGGAACTAATACATTGACTAATTAGTTTAAATAGTGAAAAATTATAATGTTTTTAAGAGTTTCCAAGATTGGAACATTCAAATCGTAAGCATCTTTGCTTTTTTTACTTTTAAGTTATTTAAAATAGTCCTTCCTTCATTAAAAGACAACTGAATTTAAAAGTCGTTTGTGACTTCGGGGCAGTCAAAAACTCGGTAGGTAACTTGTTAGAAAGCGGGAAGGCACTCAAAAGACGCTCCGCAATATTGGAAAAATAAGTATTAATAATAATAGATTATATTACGCGGTAAAGTGAATAGCTACACTTGTGTTTGATGTCTACTTAACAAGTAACGCGATGTTTGATTAAATAATTTCATCATTCAAAATCTATTATTTTTTTGTTTAGACCACTCCATTTTTATGCAACCGTGTTAAACCATGCTCGAAGCTCTAATGCGTTGCAATAGACAATGCTAGTGTAGCCACATCAATGCGATAAATGATGCGCAAATCGCTTTGATGTGTCAAAAAAGAGCGCCGCTCATGTTATCGCACAACGTCTAACGCCATTCATAATGACCCTGTATCTACTAGTGACCAAAACTTTGAACGGGTTTGAATTTTTCATTTCAAAAAAACCTCCGAATCCATAATTTTGTGCTTTTATCTTAATTTATTCAGATATTATTGGAAAAACTAGAAGAAATAAATAAAACGTTGGCACCCTGTTTCATTAATAGTTAATCGTACGGCCACACGATGCGGGAAATGTTAGTTGGAAGACGTTTGACACATCGTGTGGTGGCGGCTTAATATAAGATAGTGTGATAATTAACGGCATAAGACGTAAGTGTGGCCCCAGCATAACTGAGAAAGATTATATGTATGTTGGCACTAATATAAGTATGGATAGGTCGACCATATATCAAACGGGTTGTAAACTTGCAACTAACAATATTCCAAGTTCTTGTCAAATTTGGTAAACTCTTGCGCACATTTTTGTATAATGATCTATCCTGGTTACTTCCCTGGTTCATTTTTTCAGTAGGTGTTTACACCATACCATTTAATCCAAATACCTACATACTAGTAAAACTTTTAAGATTCACGAAATCATGTCATTTAACTTATTTCTCAACTCATAACTCATAAGTTTGGTAATACTTTAGCACCTGTGATGACTAGAGTTTTTTCTTTATTTAAATTATCAGTTGTCATTTGTGACAATTATGTAATATATTTAAAATGAACACGTATTTCTAGCTAAGCTTGTTTTTTTATCTCTTGTATAGCTTACTAGCTATATTCTTTCCTTTCCTATTAATATTTGTCTTTATTTTTTAATCATACTAGAACTAAAATTGATTTTGTTGTAAATGATTTAAATACGAGTAAATTATTAAAAATATTTTACAAAATTGTCAAAAAACATATTTTTTATGTTTTTTTTTTGTAAGTTTTCACGGTTATCTAAAACTATTGCAGAAAAATAACAGGTACTTATTATGATGTTTTTCATCAAAAGGTAAAAGCTAATTTTAAGTTATTGTAACTTTATTGTGAAAGCATGCAAAGCACGTGGTTGACAACAAAAAATTGACTCGAATTTTACACAATTAACAATTTGTTAGAAGTCTACAGAGTATTTCATAATAGTGTACCATAATTTCAGGGGCTGGTAGAACAGAAAAAACGATTATTTTTTTATTACAAACAGGTCGACAAAAACGATATTTTGAAATTTTACAAACATCAAAAGTCGATAGGTTTGATGTGTCCCAGTGACATTTTATGACAAGTTTTTGAGGTTAGGTTTTTTAAAGTGCATTTGTTATATGTACTATTATGTAAAATTTCATTTCACATAAGAAACTTATTCGTGTTAAAATCACTGAAAACGTGTCGTTTTTTTTTGAGAAAAACGCAGTTGGCTCTCTCAAAGTTAAGCTTCTATTCCTTTATGTACCTAATTGACGATGCATGCACTGGGATCTCGAAAATTGCAGAATGTACAAAAAAAGTTAAATGAGAAAGTTTAGATTATTCTGTTACTACTGTTGCTCGCAGATCGTTTCTAGCTATTCAGGTTTTGAAAAACATTGTTACATTTTGCGAAGAATTTCATTATAAACTCAAATACTTGTTCCAGCATTGCAATCGTCATTTCCATATCAACTTTATTTTATCTTATGGAAGCCAAAACAAATTAAATCTCTTTTCTTCAAAATATCTAATCGAGCAATTAAAGCCAATAGAAAGGTCCAAAACTTTTTCATTTAACCATTTAATCTATCTCTTACATGAATCATCAAAATGGTTAATCTGAGATGTACAGTACGTCCGACAGTCCGCCATATTTCAGATAAAAATAAACTGATTTAGATCATAGACACAATTCTGCTTCTTTAAAATGTACAGGCTTGAAAAAATATATTAATAATAGATAAATAAAAACAATTTCTTTGAAATCCCGTAGTATTTTAAGAAGCAAAATCGAAGGATTTTGATCTAAATATGTTTATTTTCATCCAGGAAATTGTTCCTGACGTGTGGGTTTATCTCAGGATACCCTGTATATTAAGAAATTCTTTTTCAGCGATTTTAATAATAGATCTTTTTTGCGCTGCAATGTTTTTCGGAAAACAAATTGTTTTTGATGCCCTGTATCCCAAATAAAAGACGATATATCCATGCAACCCCAGAATTTATGGTACGTCTGAAACATCTCTGACATTATAATGTTTTTTGTTGTCAATTGATCCCCTTGCTTTAAAACACTGTGTACGTGTGTTTAAATCGCCAACATAGAATTTTTCCATGTATCATTCTTTCTGCAATTTTCAAATATGTAGCATGCGCCGCTTGCTACTGAAATGTACCTTCAAACTGTCCCTAATAAAAAAAATTATTATTTTTAGGTGATCTACAAGACCATTCTGATTCTCCATTAGGGTTATATGGCGGCGACGGCGAAAATTCCAGTAGTCGAATTGCGAGTCCACTAACTGTAACGATACTAGTGACGCTAACGGCGACGTTTCTAACTAGTGTATTATAGAAATATCGAAGTGTTCCATTTTCGTTTTATAAATGAAAATCGCTTTGACTGAGACTTTAACCAATGTGTGATGTCCACTGTATGTTTAAGATTGCTTAATTTTAGTTAAACAAACCGATGATCTACCATTGAACTTAAAAACATGTAATTTATTTTATGTTCGTTTATTTTAGTACTTATTGAATTGTTGTTAAATATGAAACGTTTGTTTGTATATATATAAAAAAATTGTTTTAATGTACGTAGTTAGTTTTGAATATAAAACTGAAAAATGAATAAAAAGAGAAGTATCGTAATTTAAGGAAATTGATAATTTTTACAAATTTTGATGGTATTATAGATATTGTTATTAAGACCATGCAACTATACATCTGGTACATATCTGACATTTTAGGTTAGATAAGTTCTACAAAAATTGTGCTACCACAATCTGTCTAAGCAATAAATTATATTTTATAATTTGTGAATTCACTTTATTTTTGGCCCTTGTACCATCTGAACCCTTTGTCGATATCCGATGTGTTATTAAATCAATATTGTCAATAAATTGTTATAAAGTATTGTTGTCATTTTCTGTGTACGTTCAGTGATATAAGTGGAAGGGGACTGAACCTTCGAAGCATGTCTAAAATAGTTGAAGCACTAGTTCAAACTAAATACTCTTCAAAAGAAATTTAGCAACAGTACAATGACACAATATATTTTTTTACAAAATTCACGTAAGATGTAATTTTAGTTGATACAATCAGCGTAGAAAAAACTGACTACGGAGTGACGCAAATTACATAAAAATTGTACAGGATTAGCTAGCAACTTCTTCTAAAATTAAATGTGAGGCATTTCAACCATAAAGGAAAAGAGGGTTCGTCTAATTGTTCACATTCAGTATAATCTTTCAGATCTAAAATTATATACCACAAAAAGAGAGTGTTTGTTACTTAAACTATTATAACAGGGAAATAAATCCAATAAATAACAATAATAAATACCTAATTTATAAGGTAGAAGTGACGCGGTCTGCTTCAAATGCCAATGTCATGGAAATGATAATCATTTTTGAGATTCGTTAAATGGGCTTCCGAATGTAGACCAGGGTCGATAATTTTTGAAATAAAAAAAAATTATAGTAGGATGAAACCCATTGGAAAAGAAAGAGAAAGAGAGAAAAAGAAAGAGAGAGATATAACAGAAATGAAAGAAAAATAATTTACGGGCGATCTGAGGTCGGGAAGGGGAAGAGTAAATTTGGTGAAAACTTACCTATTTATGTCCCAAACACGCTGTAATTTTTTTGATTTGAAATATTTATTATTTCACCTTATTTTTACTTAATATCGAAAAAGCACCCTAATTTTCAATCGAAAATTCTCACGTCAAAATATCTGCTTTTTTCTGCACAAAAAAATTACAAATCCATAAAACATAAAGATTGCAAAAAACATGCAAAAATAGTTGTTCTAAATATTTGGGACATAAATAGGTGTTTTCACCAAATTTCGTGAAAAAATTTTTTTTTTTGTAAAAGAAAAAAAACAAAACCTTGGTCATTTGAATTTTTCACATAAATAATAAAATAAATTTTGAGGTTATGTGTGAAAAAAGTGTAAATACAAAAGTTGTAGATCTTTTTCTTACCTACAACTTTGCCATTTAACTTTTTTCCATAAGACTTGCAATTTTCCCGGAAATCAAGAGAAACCGTTTTTTACCCTTAAAAACTCACCCCCTTCCCCTTCCCGACCTCAGATCGCCCGTAAATCGTTTTTCCCTTCATTTCTGTTATATTCTCTTCCTTTTCCAATGGGTTTCATCCTACTATGATTTTTTCACTTTTTACCATTTTTGAAGGCTTAAGCACTGGTCTAATGGTAAGAGAGTGCGGCTAGGGAAGGGCGCCTCTCCTCCCACCCAATGCACAGACGTTATCATATCAAGAAATTTATTTATTTTAATCAATTTTCGATAGCATTCATGTGCATGCATTTACCTTTTCTCTTCCTCCATTCCAAATTTTCTACTATAAATCAAAAAATTTTACTACATTTTATGACCAGTGCTTGCGGTTCAGGCGATGAAATTATTTTTAACAACAAAGAATGTCAAGCCATACTTTGGTTAACGCATATATTTTAATTAAGTTTTCACCCTCCTGCGACGGCGGTAACAAAATTTTTAATAGCGAAGTCTTGTTCGGTATCGTGCCAGCAATGTCATATCAAATTTTTGTTGATATATCTTTCTTAATTATAAAGCTACAGAGTGTGGTTTATCTAAGAAAATTGAATTGACCTAAACACTGATTAAATCCAATACCGTCAAGTATTCACCGCCTGAGACGCCGGCGACAGACTTTTTGATAATAAATCGTTGTTGACATTATACTAGCTATATATATATCATATCGTATTTTGGTTAACGCACCTATCTCAAATACGATTAATTCAATTTTTATCGAATTTTCATCATCCGAGACCGTGATACAATTTTTTTTATAGCAAAGCCTTATTTTATGTTGTACTAGCAGTGTAGTATTAAATTAAACTGGACAGATAAGGTATTCAATCACAATTTACGTGTCCATTTGTTGCTTTCGATTTACAATTTTTCAGTCTGCTAATAACCGCTGCGGTTTTATATGTAAATAGCTAGTGTCCGTGGAAAACACCGCGTAATTTTTTGTGGAAGGCTTCCAACGGGGAATAAATTACTTCGGTCAATGGGCGTCAATTCTCTATTGTAGAGATTTTCTTAATCGACTGTTTATGAGTATCTTAATTGACATTCTACATTATTGCTTTATTAAGATGAAATGAACCATCATATTTATCGTTTCATTTCGTAGAGTATTTCGTTCAGTTTCTGTGTTTTTTATTAAGAAAAACTAAAATATTTGAGGTTTTGAGCGACTCCGACAGTAAGGTAAGGGAACGTGGCCGAGTTTTAAGAAAACATAGCAACCTGGAAAAGGCGTGGATGGACAAAGCAAATGCGAAGGGCGACGAGGCGTCGGTGCGGACTCCGGCCGCCGCGCGTCGCTGACGGCGCCCTCTCAGATGGCACTGATTAATGAGAGGCGGCGAGCGAGCGGCGGGCGGCGGGCGGCGGTCGTATCGATCGGGGCGGCGCGTGCGCCTGTCCGCGCCGCCGCCGCCGTGCCAGTGTCGAGCGAGAGACGGCCGGCACAGCTTCGGCCCGGGCGGGGAGGACTGTGACCACATACCTTCTCAAGATGGCGGCACACCGTGACCTCGGGAGCGAGAGTCAGCGCGTCTAGTGTGTAGTGTGCAGTGATGTGATGTGCCCCGGGCCCTCCGACGAGCATGCAGCATGAGCGAGGGTTGTGGGGGGCCCGCGTCCACTCAGCCTAGCGGGCCCCGGCACACGGACCCCGGGGGCACTCGGAGCCGCGAGGGGGGGCACTCCGGCCGCCCGCAGCGATGCTCCCGGCTCCCGTAGCCGCCGACGACCGAGCCGCCGCCGACGCCGCCGCCGTCGCCACCGCACCCTGCCCCGCAGAATGCCCCGGGCCCCGTCGGGCCTGTCGCTGCTCCTGATGGCTGGCCTGGCGTTCGCCGCCACCTCGCCGCTCGAGATCGTCAACCCCTGGCTGTCGGCGAGCGAGCTGCAGTCCGCCTCCGCGGCGGTCGACCTGCGGCCTGGTTGCTCGGCCCCCGAGCCTCTCTGTCCGCCGCCCTGCCCCGCCAACAGTACTAAGTCTACTCAGTGCCTTTATTATTTGCAAGAATCGCACAAAGAGGAGGTGTGCGGCCGCGACTTGGTTCCCGAGCGCAGGCGTGACGTGCTGCACGGACTCCGGATGCGCCACTGCTGCGAACACGCGGTCGACGCGGCCCTGCCCGAGGCCGCTTTCCAAGGCGGCCCAGCCTGCCGCCGGCTCCTGGGAGCCCTCATCCACCTGGACGACCTGGCTAGGAAGATTTCGTGCAGCCACGCCGACCTGCTCACCCGCTACGACTGCGCTCAGAATTACTCCATTGCACACGACTGCAAAGACTGCAAGGTAACCAAATGGGCACGTCGGGGCCATCGCCGTGTCCTAACCTCTCTTCCTTCTCCGGGACGGCGGCGTGACCGGGCGCGGGTTTGCCGCCGCCGCCACCGCCGCCGTCCCCGCGCCCTGCCTTCGCGCACTTTGCGCGCGCCACCTGCGCCACGGCGCACGTAGCCCACCACGCATGCGTTCTCTCTAGATGTACCCACAAACGCTTCCAAAAAAAAAATAATAAAACAATTATAGATTGCAAAATTTTGTAGCTATAAGAAGAAAATCGAGTTCAAGTCCACTTTTTAACAGCCTCAAAACTTGCACTAAATAAAAAAGTTAGAAGTATGTACAAAAAACAGTAATACTTCAATACAAGAAAATGGCTATCACGAAACTAAGTAACATTTTCACTAGACCAAAAATCAATGTTCAGTATCGTCATAAAGTGTTTTTTATTTATCAAAAACTACAATACCGATCAGATTATAATTATAACTATGTATTTCTTAAATTTAATTGTAATTATTCTATTACTAACGACTATGGTCATTAGATAAAGATAAAAATAATACACAATCACATAAAACACGGGAAAAGGTATATATCAGTAAATTTTTCTTCAAAGAATTTAATACATGACTTTGAAAAGACTCTATTACCAAAAAAAAAAACAAATTTTGTTACTGTAGTAGGCATACCGCAATAACGTTTCAAGAAAACCATAGACGATGTTTCGTAGACAGGGAAACAATATTATTTAAATGCTTCAGTGGTAAATTGAAAATTAAAAGCACTAACTGAAACAATTCAAAATTATCTGATTCTTTTTAAGCTAAAAATGTACATACATACGTAATTTAACAATATATGGTAAATTCCTTTAATTTTCGAAGATAGACGTAAAATTCTACCCTTTCGTCCTGTTAACTTTTTTGCGTTCCTATCTACAAAAAAAAAGAAGAAAATTTTGTCTGGATTTCAAAGAAATACATAAAAGAAACAAATAAATGTACTGAGACCAAATAAAGTACTTTTTAGAAGTCAGTATAAAAATGTTTTAATTTTTTTCCTACTAGTTTCGGTTATTATGTCATCATCATCATTAAAATATATTTATTTTCTGCCCCCAATTTGTCACAAAGTTTTTAAAAATTTACTGCATTTTCATATTATTCAAACAATAGTTATAAAGTCATTTATTAATAGTTTACGTAGCAATTTCTTATCTAAAGGTTGTCATATTTCTTTTTCCTGGTGATCATTATAGTCGAAACTAGTAGAAAAAAAATAAAACAATTTTTATACTGAATTAAAAAGGACTCTAATTTACTCTATTACAGTTAACGTATACAAGGGATATTCGCCAAGAAAAAGAAACAATTGAATGTTGAATTCTGAAAAAAGACAATACATCAAATAAAGCAGATATAAAATATTTATACATATTTTTGGCTTCCAATA